GAATATGATATTTGTGGTGTTACTCTGAGTGTATATCCACACCGGGCAAGCTTGAAAAACATGCCCGGCCACGGTGGGATTCGAACCTACGACCTTTGGAATACTAGCCCATTGGCCATTTTCAAGCTCGCCCGGTGTGGATATACACTCAGAGTAACACCACAAATATCATATTCACCTGAGTACACTACACCAACACAGAAAAAATTCATATTACTAGAATACATTGGTATAGAAGGAACTAGATTCTGTTCCGAAATATCACTTACTCGAACCGTCCTGACCGCGTAGCTCAGTTGGAAGAACATTGGGCTAGTATTCCAAAGGTCGTAGGTTCGAATCCCACCGTGGCCGGGCATGTTTTTCAAGCTCGCCCGGTGTGGATATACACTCAGAGTAACACCACAAATATCATATTCACCTGAGTACACTACACCAACACAGAAAAAATTAAAACTATGGATATTTTAATACATGATTCAACAGACAGACTGACAGAAAGGTGCATTTAAATAGTTACTATTTGAAATTTATTGCCAATTTTACAATGCATACACTTGGTATTCTAAAGCCTAAGTACTGTAGTCTGGGGTTGAGGGCAGGCCACTAGTCACTACTGGCCGTGGATTTCAGTGTATTTCGAGGGCATAGCGGCCAACAAGCAGGGCATCGACGGCCAGTGGCCGCCGCTAAATTCGAGGCCTGTTAATTAATTACTAAGTTAACTATAATTGTTTTATCTTACCTTGTGGGCATGATATGGTTGTAATTTACCACTTTCACAAACGGCTTGATCTTACATCGTCTGGCTGTTCGTTTCTTGCCCATTTTTTTGTTTACACGCAGTGGATATCTATCAATACCAGCAACCAAGGCATGGCCGTAATGCTTGTCCGAGGTTGCCTCGTCGAAATTCTTCACAATTACTGCCTTACGCCCAGCGTATCGTCCATTGAGGAGGAGAACAACTCTACCAGATTTTATAAACTTCCCCATGGTCTGCAAATGTAACAAATATAGACATTATATTTATTAATATATAATTATATACAGCAGAACCAGAGTTTTGTGACCACCCTTGGTTCTCGTGAAAACAGTCGTAAATTACATGTGGTCGTGAAAACAGTCGTAAATTACATGTACAGGGGGGTACGAAAAACCCCCCAGAATCTCTAGGGGGTACCAAAATCTTAGTACTACATGTAGGTACGGAAAAATTACATTCTATAATTATTGTTGAATATTGAATGTATTTGTGCCCAGATTTAAGTTTGGAAAGAATTGTTTTACTATAATTGTTATTGAATCAACACAAAGTATATATGTTTCAGTCTCAGTCTGACTCAATGTCTGATGATAAGTAGGATTCAGTATCCGTGGACCTTTTGGAGTACAAATCTGATACATCTGAATTGTCAATGACAATGCTAGCAAGCTCACACCATTAGAACCTGTTAATGTTTGAATAGAGTGAAAATTTTCACTTACATTGAAGGGGGTTACGAAAATTTTTCCATAGGTTTTTGGGAGGGTATGGAAATATGTACTTGAAAGTTCATTTATCCTCCACCCCCCTCTAGTAATTACTTTATGACCGGTCCCTAAGTTTTTCACATTTGCAAGCAAGCTTGAAAAATCTTGAAACTATATTGCCAGATCCAATACAATCATTTCAAGTAAAAATATGATAAATACTTGTACTTTTTAAACCATGTTACATAATTTCTAACCTAACCTGAACAGAAGGCCTCAACCTTAAATAAACAATATCCAGTATCCGAGGAGAGGAGAAAATCTTAAAAATTTCTGATAATACCAATTAATTTGGACGAAGGGGTAAGGGGGTTAACTTCTAATTTCTTCTGTGGGGAAGGTATGGATGTTTTCTGGAATGACCCATTATTTTACCATGTGTAATGCCAGAGAATTTTACTCTTCAAGGAGAGGGAGACACCACTCAGTTGGTTAATGTCACAGCCACACAGCAGTGTTGGGCAGTTTTCAATGAATTCCCGGGGGCACAAAAGCTAGAAATGTAGGGGCAGGGGGCACAAAACAGTTTACAAGGGCACATCAAGAGACAGTCTGGGGTACAAACAAGACCAAATAGGTATTAAACACAATGAACTTTAGAGATCTGGGCAGATTTGAGTTTGAAAATTGTTTATATCAAGCATTTCCTAGGGGCACTATAAACACACTTTCCCCCAAAAAACTTTGGGGCAACTCTGACGAACTCTGCAGTCAGAGTGTCAATCAGAAATAAGTCATCTGTGCGTCTGTCCTCAAAAGACCGATTTACACTACACAACTTTTGCCTAAAACTGTTGCATGCAATCTGGTTACAAGTTACAACTTGAGTCAGGGGTTTCAGAATGTACCGAAAAAGTAGGCGGTTGTACCAAAAAAGTAGCCGGCTGTGACTGATAGTTAAAAAATCGCGTGGGGAGGGGAGCGTGCCCTCGCATGGAAATTTTAAAATTAACAAATTGAATAATAT